GTTTCAGAACTGAAACACAGGGAATACAACTTTGAAATAAAGTAGAATTCTTTTTTTTTTGTGGTGCATGGCTGTTCTAGCCCAGAAGTTTTTATTAAAGTTTTCACAATGCAATCAAATTATATAATAATAATAATAATAATAAATTTTATTTATATCCCGCCCTCCCCAGCCGAAGCCGGGCTCAGGGCGGCTAACAACACTAAAATAGTGCAACATTATAAAACATCATAAGAATTAATTAAAATCAAAATTGATGGCAACCATAAACTAAAGTATTGTAAAGATTGCCAAAGGAGGGAGTCAGGCTGTGCCCTAACCAAAGGCCTGGTGGAACAGCTCTGTCTTGCAGGCCCTGCGGAAAGATGTCAAGTCCTGCAGGGCCCTTGTCTCTTGTGACAGAGCGTTCCACCAGGTTGGAGCCGCAGCCGAAAAAGCCCTGGCTCTAGTTGAGGCCAGCCTAACCTCTCTGTGGCCTGGGACCTTCAAGATGTTTTTATTTGAGGACCGTAAGTTCCTCTGTGGGGCATACCAGGAGAGGCGGTCCCGTAGATACGAGGGTCCTAGGCCGTGTAGGGCTTTGAAGGTTAAAACCAGCACCTTAAACCTGATCCTGTACTCCACCGGGAGCCAGTGCAGCTGGTATAGCACCGGATGAATGTGATCCCGCAGCGAAGACCCCGTAAGGAGTCTCGCTGCGGCATTCTGCACCCGCTGGAGTTTCTGGGTCAGTCTCAAGGGCAGCCCCACGTAGAGCGAGTTACAATAATCCAGTCTGGAGGTGACCGTCGCGTGGATCACAGTGGCTAGGTCAGGGCGAGAGAGGTAAGGAGCCAACTGCTTAGCTTGGCGGAGATGAAAGAATGCTGCCTTTGTTATAGCTGCAATCTGCGCCTCCATGGAGAGGGAGGTATCGAAGATTACACCCAAACTCTTAACGGACGGTGCTGGCACTAATTGCACCCCCGCAAGAGATGGGAGTTGCCCCCTCAATCCCATATCGTCCCGTCCCAGCCAGAGGACCTCTGTCTTCGAAGGATTTAACTTCAACCGGCTCCCACGTAACCATCCAGCCACAGCTTCCAAGCATCTGATCAGTGTGTCTGGGGCCGAGTCAGGATGGCCATCCATCAACAGATAGAGTTGGGTGTCATCAGCATACTGATGGCAGCCCAGCCCAAAACTCCGGACAAGCTGGGCGAGGGGGCGCATAAAGATGTTAAAAAGCATCGGGGAGAGAATCGCACCCTGAGGCACTCCACACACCAAGGAGTGGCGGGATGACAGTTCCCCCCAAGCGCCACCCTTAACAAATGAAGTCAGAGAGAGAGAGAGAGAGAGAGAGAGAGACAGCAAAAGCCAAGAGAGGAAGGCAAAAGAAGAAAGAAAGGAGAGGATTGAAGATTAGGGTAAAACTCGAATGCAGGGCTATATATATATTCCAGTTTTACCCTAATCTTCAATCCACATACAAAAAGTGAGTATCTCCAGCTCCCACCTGGAAAGTTTTCCCCTTTCCCCAGGTTCCCACCCTGAAAAAACCCCACTCTTGCTTGTCTCCCACACAAATACTTCAAAATAAATAGATGAGGCACTTACTGATAAAATATTCTAGCTTGATAGTTCTAAAATTTGACTTCCTTAACCTCTTTTCTTTTTTGTTTTGCTTTCCAGGCTCCCACAGATTGCAAGTCCTCCGGTGGAGCCAGCATCCAAGGTAATGAAAATTTAGGTACTGCTGGATACGTATCGTTTTCATGCAGTTATGCCCTGCGTTCCTTCCATCACAGAACTTGAGGGCAGTTTTCATGGGGGTTTCAGGCAGATCCCTGTTCAGGCATTGGCCAGACTCAGGTGAGCTTAGCCTCAGCGAGGTGGTTGCATTGTGAGCCTTCAGACCATGGTCTGGAACCCTGGAGATGGTGAAAAAGAAATGCTATACCAGAGCAATCGTTAGAGGAAAGGAAGCCAAGTCTTGAAATACTTCTTTCCCCATTGATAACAAACTCCCCACCCCCATTTATAACTGGCCTTTTTTAAAGCATCGAGCTGAAAAGCATGAAACAGTGTCACAGTGTTCGGCAAGATGTAAGAAGAATGTGCAATTATTTTTAATCACCAATCAAATGAGGAAGACCTTTCAAATTGACCGGTACATAGAGTATATGTTGGCAATGAAGTGCTACAATTATGCCTATGGTTTTCAAAGCAGGAGTTATACGGATGCATGCATGATAAGAAAATACACTTGTGTCTTTTGTATGAATGTCCTTGGCCTCTCACTTCCCCAGGTCCATACTACTTCCACTTTTCAGATCTCTGCTTCCTCTGCTCATAGTCTTCTTCCTTTATCCAACCATTCTCACTTAGCATTTTCCCCACCTTTGCTTGCATGTTCTGCAATCGGCTTTCCCACTTAATCTAGAGGACAGGAGATACTGCTTTGGATAACTTTATCACCATTGCTCACATTAAGCCTGAACGTTTTTTGTTTACGCTGAAGATCAGTGTATGCAATACACTGTGATTTTTATGGAGCAAATCCTCACTCTAACATTGCAGAAAAGGAAATTATCAGATGCGCCAGTGGAAGCAGAAGAAGATTACACCAAGTTTAATACTAGTGATCTGAAAAACAAAAAGGTGAGTTGTATATTGCTTTTCCGACTAGCTTTTTGACTAGCAGCCTCATTTTCTTGTAGGATGCTACTTTACTCAGGAGAAAGTAGAATACATATTCTAAGCATGTACAGTACATTCTATCCAGTGCTATTTTTCCAGAAAAAGGGGTGCCAGAACTCACCATGAACACCTCCCTCATTCTCTTAGAATGGCAATGGCATCCACCTGAGAGGTACCAGAATTGAGTTCCAGGACCTCTGTGTTTGGTGTGGAGAGAACAATCTGGCTCTTAATACGGCTAAGACCAAGGAATTGGTGGTGGATTACAGGAAAAAAAAGGCGGACATTCAGCCCTTGTATATCAACGGGGAACGGGTGGAGAGGGTGGCGGAATTCAGGTTTTTGGGAGTAACTATCGATCAGGGCATGACTTGGAGCGCACATACCACTGCTCTGGTGAAGAAGGCCCAGCAGAGAATTTATTTCCTCAGACTTTTAAAGAAGAACAATCTGAGTGAGAGACTGCTGGTGTCCTTCTACCGAGGCTCCATAGAGAGCATTCTTACATACTGTATTTGTGCTTGGTTCTCCAGTTGTACAGCTAGGGAGAGGAAGGTGCTCCAGAAGGTCATAACCACAGCCCAAAGGATTATTGGTCATTCTCTCCCATCTTTGGAAGAACTGTACGGTTCCCGTTGTCTTAGGAAAGCAAATAACATCCTGCAGGATTCATCTCACCCGGGACACAGTCTGTTTGCACTACTGCCTTCTGGCAGGAGATATAGAAACATCAAGTCAAAGACAAATAGACTGAAAAACAGTTTCTATCCAAGAGCTGTGGCCTTTTTGAATGCTGTAACTCGATAGTGTGACCTGGGAGTTTGATGGGTGTTGGTGTGGGTGTGGCTGGAATGTGGTTTGTTTGGTTGTTGTTGTTGTTTTGCTTTTGTTGTTTTAAGGGATGGCATCCAATTTCGTTGCACTTTGTGCAATGTTGCACTTGTGTAATGACAATAAAGAATCTATTCTATTCTATTCTATTCTATTCTATTCTAATTCTATATGTGAGGAAAACCCCCGTTAAGTTTTAGAATAGTATATTCTAACTAGTTCAAGAAATGGTGAAAATATTGGTGGCGGGAATTTAAAAGGCTTTCATAGCTATCTAGGACTAAAGAACTAGTAAAGCTTTTAATAAATCTGCTAAAGCAGTATCCTGGAATGTTGAATCCATTCCCTGAGTTCCTCCATCCACAGTGGGCCACTTTAAGCAAGGGGTGTAAGAGAGAGGCTCCGCCCATCTGTCAGTCACCTGACATCACTATGACATCAGGTGACCCATTTTTCCTTAATATCACAGCTTGAGGCCAAGCTTTGCTATAAAGGAATAGCAAAGTCCTGCTTTCAGTAGGAGTCAGTTGCCCCAATGGAGTTCCCATTGGGGATGTCCACAGCCCTGCTGATTCCATTGTTGGTGACAGCAAGCCTCCCTAAGTTAAGGAACAATTTGCTAACATATTTACCCCAAGCAGTTAGGATGTTTGTGACATCAAGGCTTAGTTAGGGCTGGAGCATAGCTTACAGGTGACACTCTTATCTTAGTAAAAGTAACTCAATCACACACAGTACAAATTTTGGAGCAGGCATAGTACAGTATTTAAGATGTGGAAAGAGTTGAGTAGTCTGCATAATTCAGTTTACTCATGAAAGATGTTGGATAACCTGAGAAACACAGACTTTCAAGATGAGGAATTTCAAGCAGCAACAGTAGTCTAATTTTACTTCTTCATTTAACCTTTTAAACAAAATATACCATCCTTTATCACAAGATCTCAGGGCGGTTCACTGCATGTGTGGATGTGCATTAAAGATGTGTATATTAATCTTTGTTTTTACTGTAGCATTTCTGGGATAAAAAACCATGCATTTAACTTCAGTGTATTCCCAGCACGATCAGGATTCTGGTGTCTGATGTTTTCATAAATGTTTGTGCCGTCTAACTGATGAAACATCCCACCTATCTAAATGTGAAGAAATGTTGTCCGGATCAGCCCGAATGTCAACTTTTTATATTAGCCAGATCTGCAAACCACGTGATTACATTTATCCAATTATCCCCCAGATAAAATATTTAGGCACAATGGTGTGAAGGGATATACAAAAGCTAAAGGGTATGTGTGGTTTCTGTTTGATAGGCATGTGACGTAGCGTGGAAACTTTACTTTAGTCTAACTTTTTCCTCTGTTTTTATTTCCAGGCAAACAGTAAGATGTCAGCTGCTCAAAAGGCCCTGGCAAAAGTTGACAAGAGTGGCATGAAAACAATGTCTTCTTTCTTTAGTTCAAAAACTAAAACAACAAAATGAGACTTTTGATACAGTAATTATTTTTGTATAGGCCAGCTTCTTTTTCACTTCTTCCCTTCCTCCCCCCCCCTCCTCCGAAGTTTTCATATATCCCTTTACTTAAAGTTAAGGCTCAAAAGTAGAAACAGTACTGTGAAAGTTAATATTGTGTAAAACAAAGTCCGGATAGCCTATTGTAGTTCCCACTGGGAAAACTCATTTTGGTAATTTATCATATCAGCCAATATGCTTGTTTATTCAGCACTGTTAAGCTATAAGGTGCACATTGCAATGTAATGAGGTAAAATAAATTTCTGAAACAGATATTTCTTGTTTCTTGTCTTTTTAATGGATGGGGATTAGGGAAATGCCAAATGTTTCTTCCTTTTAAAAAAAACCTGAACTGGGTCCCCCCCCAAATGGTTTTTGTTGAATTTTAGAATATTAACAAATGCAAAGAGGGGAAAAATAAGTTTCTCAAGCATACAAAATCTAAAGAAAATAAGAGTCATTAGGATATAAGAGCTCATTTTTAAAAAATCGCTTTTCAGTTTTGGAACTAACGATGTACTAATACTAGATAAATTCTAATACATTTTGCCATTAACATGGCAGCATTTTGCTTATTACATTAGTGAGCTGGATTTTTTGTTAGCTGTTATGCTTCAGTGTATGGTTAATCTCAGTTTCTCAAGAAAAGTGATGTGATACATGATTAAACATGTTTTCTCCATGTTGTGAGTGACCCTTGCTTCAAGAATATCAGTGATTCTTTCTGTGCAATAAGGACAATTTTAAGGGACATCGTTTTAGAGAGTCTGCTGATTTAAACATAAAAGTTTATTAAAGAGAGTTGGACACTTATTGAAAGAAAGTCTCATATACAGTTACACAAGCTAAGGTTGGAGACATCTCCTCATTAGCTAGAATGGAAAAGTACCTCTCAGCAGGACTACAAGTTGGCCAAATAATTTTCCATATAGTGACCGTGGATCACATCCAATGTTGCTGTTCTGGTAAAACAGCTTGTGCAACCGAAGTTTCCTCTCCCCCGTAGCTCCTTCCTCCATCAGTGCATCTTCAAAATCTGTCCCAGCAGGTTAGAGGACCCTCCAGAACAGTTTTTTTCCTGCCAATCTAAAATGGCACACATTTTGTGTGGGAGTAAATTTATCAGGAACGATGGGTGTGGGTGTGTACACACTCACACACCAAATTTTTCTGTGTATAAGACTAGGTTCCCCCCCTTAAAAATAATGTCAAAAATTAGGGGGCGCCTTATACACACCATCATCTCGCCCGATTTTCTTAAATCTGAGTCCCAAAAAATAGGCGGTGTCTTATACATGGGGGCGTCTTATAGACGGAAAAGTACGGTGTGTGTGTGTGTGTGTGTGTGTGTGTTAAAACAGAAGCCAGTAACAATGTTGTTAAACTGACTCTGTTCATTCAAACAGTCAATACAGTCGTCATGAATCCATTTTCAGCAGAGCGCCTCGTTTACTAAAAGGTGGCATTTGTGTGTGTGTGTGTGTGTGTGTGTGTGTGTTTTAGGTTATTTTTAAAAATTGCGCCAAATGTACCAAAATACTTATGGGAAAAGAGAGTAGCTTGCTGTTTGAAACTGACTTAGAAATACAATGTTACAAAAAAATGTAAAATGGTGCCTAAAAGCAATAAAATCCAATAGCAATAAAAGAAAATAAAACAGTAAAAAATATTTTTAAAAATGTTGTTAAACTGACTGAACTGTCAAAATCAAAGTGTTACAAATACATTCGTTGGCAAATCATCTGGGTAATAATATTTATAGATGTGCTTTTTTCTTTCACTAGATGTCTGCTCGTCACCAGAGGAAGAGATGAAGGGAATGAAAGGAAATGTGGATGCCTTGTTTTAATGTGGAACATTCCTAAAGCCATTTTAAAGAAATACAAATTGTATTGTTAGAGACTGTTATCCAGGTGAGATTTGCTGGTAGAGCTGGAATTCGATGAGGTCAATTTCCCTTCTGGTATGTGGTTGGGACCTCTTGCTTGAAGTTCTAGATTTTGATCTAGTACAATTATTCCTTGTCCTTTGAGCATTTCTGGCTTGGTGTACCTTGTCTGCTTACTGCTGTCTGCTTTCAGCAAATGTATTGAGGGGCTTGTCCACAGCATTATTTTATCTCTTATGCCACTTTTCCCCATCCAAATTAACTTGGAGTATTCCACACTTGTGCATGCTTGAATTTGTTTCTGAGGAGAAACCACAGTCTTTCGCATTCATACTGGTAGGAGTTTCCTTTTTTTGTTTTCTCATTTGTTATTATGCCAATTAAGTAACAACAGGGAACGTGCACAGATAGCTGTGCACCTTGGGTTTTTTATTTATTTGAAAAATCTGCATAAGAAGTGTGCAGTAGGCATAGCCAGACAATTGTAAATTTGCTTGTGCAGTTTTCAGCAAACCTGATGGTTCAGAATTATACGCACACAAAGGGGGAGAGGCTAATCCTAGTTTCATTTCCTTGTACATTTTTCTGGTTTTGTGCAAATCTGAGGGATCAACAGGAAAAAATAATATCCGCCCTTCATGAATGTACCAGAAATAGTTACAAGAAAAGAAATGAAAAGACTAAGGAAGCAGTGGGGTGGAAGGGGGTTAGCCAAAAGTGACAATTGCTCCACCCACCCCAAACTACAAAAACAAATTATCTGTGACCCTGAATGGAACAGTTTGGAGTCCTATTTCCAGCAATTTACCAATCAAGATTTGTATTATTTGAGGTTAATGTTCTGGTACTACACAAATTACATGTGAACGCAAACCTACAGCAAACTCTGGTGTGGGCAAGCTCTAGATAATACTGTTTAATCTTATTAAGGGCTTATATAGGTAATTTATTTTCCTTTCTGAAAAAGCACAACATCTAACCCTTGTGCCTATGGGAGGAAAGGTAACTGAAGGACCACTTGCTCCCAAATAAACTTGCCTGTGTGTTTCTGCCTTCAAAATGGAGGCAGATGACAACAAGAGACAGTGCCTTTTCTGTGGTGGTTCCCTGGTTGGGGGAAACTCAGAGATACTTGGCTTGTGCCTGCTTCACTAACTTCCTGAACTTTGAAAGGTTGATATATTATTACTGTTTCTTGCACTACTTGTACTACTGTTCTGATGGCTGGGTGTGTGCTTTTCTTCTTCTTTACTTTTAGCAATTTAATGTTAATGTTTTTTGTGGTTTTTTTACTTTTTTATTGGGTTTCTGCCATGTAAACTTCTGTTGAAAGTTGATATGTCAGTTTTAAGAAGTCGTTTAATGAACCGGGGACTATGCAAAGAACCCTTTACCCTGGATTATTCCCTTCAAAATAAAGATGCATTTTTCCCCACACGGGATTCCTATCTTCCCTTAAGGCAGGTGTTTTGTTGTGGTGATACTGCACTTTCCCTTCAAATCGCATCATTATTTATTTGATGAAAATGGAATTTTTAGAAGCTGTATGCTGTTCCTCTACCCGAACAAACTCCGGTGTACCTTATTTAGAAGAAAGTACAAACCGTAAAACTTCCCATTGCCCTCCACCAGGTCATCTTGTTTAAATGTGTGTCTGGTTAATTTTTCTTCAGTTTTTTGGAAGCTATGTCCTGGCTCTGTTTGATAGGACACCTCTATCATCCTAGGCACATTTATACAGAACTATGTCTTGTGTTAGGGACGTGGGTGGCGCTGTGGGTTAAAGCCTCAGCACCTAGGACTTGCCGACCGAAAGGTCGGCGGTTCGAATCCCCGCGGCGGGGTGCGCTCCCGTCGTTCGGTCCCAGCGCCTGCCAACCTAGCAGTTCGAAAGCACCCCTGCTTTTGGAAAAATAGGGACCGCTTACTAGCGGGAAGGTAAATGGCGTTTCCGTGTGCGGCTCTGGCTCGCACGTGACCCGGAAGTGTCTGCAGACAGCGCTGGCTCCCGGCCTATAGAGTGAGATGAGCGCACAACCCTAGAGTCTGTCAAGACAGGCCCGTACGGGCAGGGGTACCTTTACCTTTACCTATGTCTTGTGTTAAGAGGGTTTACTCCTTAGAATGGATTTCAGGCCTAGTATTCTTGGTATATCAGGCACCAAAAAGTGTCATGTGCAAATTAAAGTCAAAATGTAAGTGAGATGTGCTTTGACAGACCATGGAGCACAGCACATCTTTCCAGTTACAGAGTGGTGTTTGTGTCTGGCAATTCTACTCATTATTGATCCAGAACAGATTCCAATGTTCTGAGTAAAAATTTAATTAGCAGAGTAAAAATTTAAACACATTGCAGGATCCCCCCCCCCCAAATAGACCAGAGACAATTATATTTCATCCAGCAGAACTTTACGGCTACTGAAGGCAAATGAGCATAATGGTCACAAATCCAATACATTCAGGATTGGCACTGTCCATAAGAAATCCAGTTGCAGCCGACCTAACTTAAACTTACAATAACTTATAAGGAATCTAAACCTTACCACTAAGCATACTATGTACAGAACACCACACCAGAAGGAAAAGAGCTAGAAATCGAAGGAGTACAGCTCCTCCTGAAATTTACCTCAGGAATTGGGAAACACCACAGCTTCTTACCAGCTTACCCCCTTGCCTAACACCCCAGGAACACCTGGCACAGTCATGGCATTAAATAAACAGTGTCAATTGCTGGCAGTTTGCTCTAAGAACTCAATAAGCTATGTGTCTCATCAGAAGTGGTAAATCTTATTTCAGAAAGTGCCAGGAGCTGGTAATTGGGTCCATGCTGATTCTAAACAAGGGCTTTTGGGAAGGAAAGGTATTGGGCATACTGAATCACAAGAAAGGTGGGAGAGAGATTTTTAGTCTCTAGTGCCACCTGAAAGGCAAGCTAGTGCACTGCCTGTTGCCCTTTGCTGATTATTAATGGCAGCTTCCCTAAGGAAGCCTGGAGAGAAAGTTGTCCATGTGGCATTAAGCCCTTTGTAGTCCCCAAATCGCTGATCAGGAAAAGACTTGCCAACTGCAATTAACAGGGACTTGCTAATGTTTTGACTCTTGAGATGTATGCTTTTAGGACCTGCCTTATTTTTGTAAAATTTTAACTTATTTTTAAACTGCTTTTAATATTGTATAATAATAATTTTAACATTAATGTTGTGCTTTAATTGCTGTAACCTGCCTTGAGACCTTAGGGTGAAGGGAGGATAACAAATTGTAATAATTGTAATAATAATTACAGTAAACAACAACAACAATTTAAGGGGAAGACTCAGACAGAGGTTTTGTTGTGAATACAAAAAGTAGGGGTGTGGGGGTTTTTTTTGCTTTATAATTTAATTCC